GAGTGTGAGTGAGTGTGAGTGACTGAGTGTGAGTGAGTGAGTGTGAGTGAGTGTGAGTGAGTGAGTGTGAGTGAGTGAGTGAGTGAGTGTGAGTGAGTGAGTGAGTGAGTGAGTTGAGTGAGTGTAAGTGAGTGAGTGAGAGTGAGTGAGTGAGTGAGTGAGTGAGTGAGTTGAGTGAGTGAGAAGTGAGTGAGTGAGTGAGTGAGTGAGTGAGTGAGTGAGTGAGTGAGTGAGTGAGTGAGACAGTGATGAGGAGGGAGGGCGGGAGGAGGAGGAGAAGGAGACGCGGCGCGCGGACGACGAGCGGTAAAAGTAAGAACCCCACACAAAGATGTGGGGAACAAACACACACCCAGATGCACAGAATGCTGCGCCTGCCACGACTTCGGCAACGGCATCGCCAAAGTGCTGCGCCTGCCACGATTTCGCACACCCCCCGCCGCGCGCGCGACAACATCCTGTCCCTCTAGACAGCTGCCGAATGCGACCCCTGCCACACAAACACACACCCAGATGCACAGAATGCTGCGCCTGCCACGACTTCGGCAACGGCATCGCCAAAGTGCTGCGCCTGCCACGATTTCGCACACCCCCCGCCGCGCGCGCGCCAACATCCTGTCCCTCTAGACAGCTGCCGAATGCTACCCCTGCCACACAAACACACACCCAGATGCACAGAATGCTGCGCCTGCCACGACTTCGGCAACGGCATCGCCAAAGTGCTGCGCCTGCCACGATTTCGCACCACCCCGCCGCGCGCGCGCCAACATCCTGTCCCTCTAGACAGCTGCCGAATGCTGCGCCTGCCACGACTTCGGCAACGGCATCGCCAAAGTGCTGCGCCTGCCACGATTTCGCACACCCCCCGCCGCGCGCGCGCCAACATCCTGTCCCTCTAGACAGCTGCCGAATGCTACCCCTGCCACACAAACACACACCCAGATGCACAGAATGCTGCGCCTGCCACGACTTCGGCAACGGCATCGCCAAAGTGCTGCGCCTGCCACGATTTCGCAACATCGCCCCTGCGCCTGCGATTTCGCACGCCCCCCGCCGCGCGCGCGACAACATCCTGTCCCTCTAGACAGCTGCCGAATGCGACCCCTGCCACACAAACACACACCCAGATGCACAGAATGCTGCGCCTGCCACGACTTCGGCAACGGCATCGCCAAAGTGCTGCGCCTGCCACGATTTCGCACACCCCCCGCCGCGCGCGCGCCAACATCCTGTCCCTCTAGACAGCTGCCGAATGCTACCCCTGCCACACAAACACACACCCAGATGCACAGAATGCTGCGCCTGCCACGACTTCGGCAACGGCATCGCCAAAGTGCTGCGCCTGCCACGATTTCGCACACCCCCCGCCGCGCGCGCGACAACATCCTGTCCCTCTAGACAGCTGCCGAATGCGACCCCTGCCACACAAACACACACCCAGATGCACAGAATGCTGCGCCTGCCACGACTTCGGCAACGGCATCGCCAAAGTGCTGCGCCTGCCACGATTTCGCAACGGCATCGCCAAAGTGCTGCGCCTGCCACGATTTCGCACACCCCCCGCCGCGCGCGCGACAACATCCTGTCCCTCTAGACAGCTGCCGAATGCGACCCCTGCCACACAAACACACACCCAGATGCACAGAATGCTGCGCCTGCCACGACTTCGGCAACGGCATCGCCAAAGTGCTGCGCCTGCCACGATTTCGCACACCCCCCGCCGCGCGCGCGCCAACATCCTGTCCCTCTAGACAGCTGCCGAATGCTACCCCTGCCACACAAACACACACCCAGATGCACAGAATGCTGCGCCTGCCACGACTTCGGCAACGGCATCGCCAAAGTGCTGCGCCTGCCACGATTTCGCACACCCCCCGCCGCGCGCGCGACAACATCCTGTCCCTCTAGACAGCTGCCGTGAGTCAGCGAGTGTGAGTGAGTGAGTGAGCGAGTGAGTGAGTGAGTGAGTGAGTGAGAGTGAGTGAATGAGAGTGAGTGTGAGTGAGTGAGTGTGAGTGAGCGTGAGTGAGTGAGTGAGTGTGAGTGAGTGAGTGAGTGAGTGAGTGAGTGTGAGTGAGTGTGAGTGAGTGAGTGTGAGTGAGTGAGTGTGAGTGAGCGTGAGTGAGTGTGAGTGAGTGAGTGTGAGTTGAGTGAGTGTAAGTGAGTGAGTGAGAGTGAGTGAGTGAGTGAGTGAGTGAGTGAGTGAGTGAGTGAGTGAGACAGTGATGAGGAGGGAGGGCGGGAGGAGGAGGAGAAGGAGACGCGGCGCGCGGACGACGAGCGGTAAAAGTAAGAACCCCACACAAAGATGTGGGGAAAAAGATACTTCCTCAGAGACCAAGAAGAGACGGCACCCACCGATCAGGACTCCACTGAAGGAGAAATGATGGAACCCTCCGGGGAAAGATCCGTCAAGCCGAAGGTCATCGTGGAATATCACAATTCAGAGAACCTAGATGAGTTCATCCAAGAACTCAAGGGAATCTATCTCGAAACAGACATGAACAAAAAGGACGCAGAGGAAGAGCTTGCGGGGACCAAGGAGGAACTCACCCGCTTCATGAACCAGTTCAACAAAGATCCAAGAAGAGCTCATCCCAATTTGACAGAGTGCAAGAGAGCCTCATTGGCACATGTCGCTCCTGATGTCAATCTCGGTGAAGAAGAATACTTCCCTCATCGAGGAGAATGTCCCACCGTTGACGAGTACAAGCAAGCTCAACCAGGATCCGGATATCCGATCAAGCTACCGCTTGGATTGAAGAAGCTCAGGTCACAAGATGACCCGAAAATCATCCGAGCCTATGCCAATATCCTGGGATCGCTGATGCAGCCGACTGACCGTCCTCCCGTGGACTATCTCAACACGCATGAGTTCACCTCATCCATAGCGATCAACATGCTTACCTTGAACCATGGAAACCTCACAAGGAATCCAAAGTTGGACAACAGGGAGGTGTACAACATGCCGATGAAGGATCGACCGATCGTCAAGATGATGATGCAGAACAGTGCACGCATCTTATGCCTGAATGAAGCAGACGCATTCTTCAGTCCGAAAGATGAGAAATCCAGGGAGCTCATCAAGACGTTCATCCGATACGGTTACAAGGGCATCGTGATCAAGCAATGGTCATCCAGACCGATCGCATGCTTTGTCCGCGGCGGACCCTCTGCACGAGTGGAACTTCTGGCAAGACACATTTCCACCAGGAGCCAGAATTGGGGAACCACATTCGGAATGTTCAGATGTTTCTTCGGAACTAAAGGAGATGGCACTGATCCCGAATACGAAATTCCGACCTCGGACTGCTTGGCAACCACAGGAACATCCATGTTTACTGAACCCAAGAAGTACATTGGATCGAGATTGCCAGCACGCACCATTGTCCAAGGACATGGCCGAGACAAGGAGATCGTCGTTCTCCACATCGAGCAGAGAGATGAGTTTCGTGGTATGATCCCGAAATCATCCGACAAGTCATTCCACGAGTATGACGACCGCCACATAACGAGGGCAGATCTACCATTCGCAATTGGAGTCTTCCACATCCATCCTTCACTTAGCCATGGAGCAGCAAAGGAAGATCTTCAGAATGAAATCATGCCGCTCGTGACCTTGTACCGATGCGATGCGATCACCGGAGACGCCAACAAATCAGCGAACACCTACAGCAAACTCCAGCATGTCTACAATCCGACCAACGGTCTCGTGAACATCCTCATGAGAGCATATCAGAGACTGTGGAATGCAACGAAGAATTTTGCCACTTGTGGACAGAATGGAGTATGCAATGGAGACTTCGTGCACCCTGAAATCCATTCTCCGTCATCACCTGCACATGAAATGCGGATCAGGATTTGATCGAACATTCCCAGATGTGATGATGACTCTCGTATTTGGATGGGGCAAAACAAGAATCAAGCAGGATTTCCGGAAGGTCGAGATGAACGGTATGGATGATGAACAACTGGAATTCATGCGGAACCATCCAACCAAGGCCATATTCGATTACCAGGTCTCATCAGCAGAGCGCTACAAGCACGTGAACAATGAAATGTTCATGAATGGCTCGCAGGACTCCGACTCCCACAGTCCTCTCATGGTTTACATCCGCAGCATGTCTGCAACCAGTAAACGCAGCTCTGAGAGATACCAGGATTACGTCAAGAAGAAGCAATCATCCTGGACCAGGCAGGAGTACAAGGACTACAACAAGCAGTGGGGACATCAGAAGCAGTGGAAGGATGGGGACCATGGCAGTCAATCCGACAGCAGCCGCAGATGGTATCGTCGATCCGACTGACCATGAAGATACGTTCAGTACCACGAACAATTCAGATGATTGATCCTCCTCGTCTACAAGACTATACCATGAGTGAGAGATCAATAGTTTCACAATCGTTCCGCGTGTACATAGCGTTGTACATCACCCTTTGATACATTTAGGTATCCAAAAAGAAGCAGCACATAGTGTTTCCCATTTCAAAGGCCAGGACATTTCATCCAAGCAGAAAAAGGATGAATCCGGCACTTTTAATCACATGGCTACGGCACACATCAAGGCTACGGTCAAAGGAAAAGAAGCCAATAGTATTTCATACTTTGTGCTGGAGATCAAAAGAAATTTGTGTCTGTTTTGTGTTCTGTTTTTCAGACCATTGATCTCCCGCAACATTTGGCTCAAGGGCCCCTTTTGCATAATCACGACCATCCGAGCGTGAGGACAAAAGAGCCATTGCAGGCCGCTTGCAGGATTATCCACAAGACAATCCACCAGGGACAATTCATCCTCCAATCATCCATTACTGGCATATTGGACTCTCTCCGGAATAGATTCAGGGACCAACAACGACCTCAACTACCACAGGGTTCCAGTTCCCTCCGGGGATAGGCACCTGGGGCAGTGGGCCTCACCCCCCCCCCCCCAGGCCCCCTCCTTTGGACAACTAGGGCCCTTTTGGTTATAAACTCCCGTCCCCCTTCGCCCGATCTGGTCCTTTCGCGGCTTCTCGTGCACACCTTGCCACCTGCACCGCAACGTCCCAAAAGGGGTTGAGAAAACGGGCGCTTTCTGAAGCAGAGCCTGACAAGAATGCGGTTGTCAAGGAACCCATCAATTTTCGGTCCAACACTTGAAAAGACGCACCTGAATCAGGTGGCTATGGATGGGGCACCCCCGACACCAAAACACCCACTGGATACCCCAGAGCCGTGGGGCCTGTTCACATGGAAGACAATCAACCTCAACTCGCAGGCCGCGAAATCGCTGCCAAAAGTGAACAACGGTTTGTGGGTTCAATGGATAGCTGGACATGTTTGATGGCCCAGCCAGGTCTACTGTCCGAGTAGCATTGCGCTACTCCATGCCATCGCCTCTAGGTTCAGCGGATAAAAAGGTTGGCCTTTTGAGGTTTTGACCACATGGCTGAAGAGCAAGAGGAAACTGGTCAAACGGTCGATCCGTTTTGGACAACTGGTCTAAAGAGCCCAAGGCCTTTGAATTTCCCCCAGAATGCCCTGAATTTGCTTTAGTCCACTGCAGAGGAAATTCACATATCTCCAGTAGTGGTAGCCTACAGGGGGGAGAATAAAACCAGCGAGATGGAGCCACCCCCCAAAACCTTCTGGCTTCGCCCGACCGCTTCGCCCGACCGCTTCGCCTGACCGGCGGGGAGCTGCGACGCCTGGCTCTTCTCAGGGGGCTCCCATGTAAGGTCTAGGTCCTCCGGAAGACGTTAGAATAGGGGTACCCTTTTTTGTTTTTCCGCCCTCCCCCCAAACAGATATGGTAAAAGGGCACTACTGGCGGACCTAGTAATGTTGACCCGGATTGACAAACAGAAGGGCCGCTCACAGGGATGTAGAAAACTACAGCTCCAATACACTAGGTAAGTACCATGCTTTTCTGCATGTGCAGACGCTGGCGACTTGGCGAAATAGCACATGTGTGCCTTTGTGAGCCATGAGCCATCTGCATCAGAAGGAACCCTCTGTTTTTTAATATGGGGCTGTTCCCCTCCAAAAGTGGTCTGAATCCCCAGTCAAACCAGGGGACGCCACCCATATAGGGGTGTTATTATTTTCGTAAAAGATCCTGACCTTTGTGGCGCAAGGTCAATATTATTACTCCCGGGGGGGAATTTTGTGCGGAAACTCTGTGAGTTGAGCCATAGACTACGTCATTTTATGTACGATCCGCGTTTGGCTGAGAGTGAGGCGATACAACTGTGAAACTCAGCCACTTGCGGACTCATCTGCAGGGTTTGTGATTTCCCTTTGAGTTCCCAGCTGAAACAAGTTACCCTCCAAACACAACATGCCCAAACTAGGGACATACAGAACAGAAGCCTGCTTGTGCGCGGAGGGAAGGATGTATGCGTGTAAGACAATGTCCTGGTTCAGCATATCTGAAAGAAGGAACCCCCCACCCCCCAAGATAGAAACCCTTCATGCGTTTTAGGGTTCCAGGTTAAACTGAGTGAGTAAGTCTCTGCATTTCAGGGTTCCAGGCGGTCACATGGCTCCCTAAGCCCCAAGCCGGGTTTCCATATAAGGGGCTTCCAGCTACAACAAAACCCAAGCCACGCAACAACAACACCGGCAAAAACCAGCCCTGAAAACAGCCCACTCTTGCAAACAACCCTGGTCTGGGGTTGAACTACCACCCCACAAAAAAAAAGGTTTCCAAGTGTCCGGTGTTACGAGTCCCAAGTACTCTGGCAAATTTCAGCTTACCGAGATTGTTCGGGAAACTTCCATTTGCTTAAGGCCCCAGGAAAAAAACTATTTCCAGTAGTGATGAATTCCTTTTAAACCCAACAAGGGAACAAAAATGATATTCTTAAGCAAATGGTGGAACATGATGGTTTGCGGGGTTGGCCGCTCTGTGCAGAGCAGCAGGACCGTTTTTTGGACTCTCACATTCTTGCCACCTCAATCTACACGAGCATGGATCGAACACCATTGACACTTGATTCTGCATGCCCAGTGGATCCGTTTGCCTGAATTGTTGGCAACCAAGAGAGCCGGTAACCAAGAGAACCACTCTTTACTCCCAAAAGGAAACTAGCGTGTTACCACCTATATGGATTCAGCTTTGTGGATGAATAGGGGACGGGAAAGAAGAGGAATCTTCTCTTCGATGTGTCTTGAAGCATCCTTCTCTTCGGTGTGTCGTGCTTTAATTAGGATCCAACCCCCCCCAAAATGGTGGTTCTCTCCTTTTGGTGGAACCAGCCAAAACTGGCACCCTCAAAAAAAACACACACCCACCATGATCTGCATGGCTGTTCGGAATGCTCGTCCGATAAAACCGTGTCCGAAGGGTGAAGAGCCGAATTCGTCCGGGCTGCATCTGGCCCCTCAAGTCAAAGTCTCAAAACAAAAACAATGCAAACCCCTGTCCAAGTGCATGTTTCCTTTCTTGGGCAAACCCTCAATTCGGTTGGTTTTACAGGGGAACCAAAAGGAAAACTGCATTTTTTGGGGGGGGTCCCCCTAAAGAAAGACATCCAACAAATATGAAGGAAAAACGCGCAGCTGGCGTCGCAAAACCGAAAGCTCCAGCCTCTTCTCCTGCGGAGCCACCTGGCTCCAAAAGGACTGTGCCGGGATGCGTGAGAACTGGGGGTCTTTTGATCTGCAGGGTGGGTTCTATGTGGATCTGTAGGGTATCCGCCGACAACAGACGGCGTGTTGGACACAAGAAATGCTCCTTACCTCTTTACCTTTTCCCCCGCCCCTTACCCCTCCCCAGGGGTACGGTTTCGGACGATGGCGGGGGGGGGGGGGTGGCCTGAGCCGGAAGCGTTTTTTTTTGTTTGGGCGCGGCTTCCCTTTAAACCACCATGACAACTTAAAGGGCTCCTGCCATCACATATCGCGGACACTTAGAGTCAACGTTTGCAGATTTGATCGAGCACCCATATATCGTTGCTAGCCTCCTTCTATCCGGGTTTTGATATGGCGCAACGCTGCAACGAATGTCTGCAAGGCGGAGCTATTGCCAACTCATACAGCTACCTTCGTCCTGAATAGTGCGACTTAGGAGGGACCTGCTTGCCAATGTATCAGTTTCCCTCCAATTGGCTGTTTGGATTGGTGGGTTGGAGGCTAGGACTCCACTTGACCATCTACAAGAATCAGGGGTTCAATTCCCCAAACGGGTGTTTGGAGCTTGGGTCTGATTTTCCCATTCACCCTACAAGAACCAGGGGTTCACCATCCGCGAACCACTCCAAGCCACCAATTGGGGCTCACCCGACAACATGTATCCCTTCAAAACAACTTGACAACAAACCCCGGACTTGAACTACAAACTTTCTGTGGGTGACCGAGCTGGAACTCGGGCTGTTTTTGCACAGGGCGTTGCCAGAACTTCACTTCCCACGCCATCGCCTCCGCCTGTTTCCTGTTCGCCAGGAGCGCTGCTGCTTGCTTGGCCAAGCTGCCGTGAGCCTCCTGCGCTTTGACTCGAATCCGGGCTGTCCATTTTCAGAACCCCTGCTAAAAGCTTAACTTTTAAAATAGAAACCCCTACCCAAGAACCTGAGGGATGGCTGGGAACCACCAAGGAAAGCATGTGGATCCACCGCTGAAAGGCGCACAAGTCAACAAAACTCATCCCCAAAGATCTGTGGACACACGAGCAAACCAGCAAGCCTTTGCAACGCCAAGCCGAGTTGAATCTTGGTCGCACCTCGACGCAAACCTTTTCCCTTTGTTGCGCAAGCTTCACCCAGGGTCAAAAAAGCGTCGTTCAATCATTCGAGCAGGTTTGTGGAGCACTTTACCACCAAATTGAATCATTGGATAATGATGTCATTATTCAACCCCCTTTTATACCAATTATCTCAACCTCCCTTCTGGTTGATTCAGCGCTGACTTCTGCATTAAAAAAAATAAATCCCATGCTTCGCATGCCGATCCATGTCTTGACTTGCTCGCTCATGCAGAAGCGTAGGTCCCCGGCCGCGCGTTTGTGTTTTGGGGAGAGTGAATAACCTTCGGCCGGGTATGTTAGTTGTTGTTGCTAAAAAGTGTTTCTTGTTTTTTTTTGGGGATTGCCTAACCCAGGAGTGCCTCTGCAAAGATTTTACGCAGCTCCCTTTTTGTATGAACCCTTTTGATGAAAACCGCTGCTCAATGGAACATGCAGGGGTCGGCATTGTTCATGTCAAAAACCAGCTGCTTGGACATAAAATGAGCAATACACCAGTGAACTCGAGAGTCGCTGCTTGTAAACCTCGGACAGTTGAACTCACCGCCAATAGTCTCGTTCACATGCCCGTTTGAAAGAGCGCGACATAGACACAAGCCATCGGAACAGGACACAGGAAGCGAGTGGACCGGACCCAAGCAGAAACTCAGAGATACGGTGGATGCGTACGTTGTCAACGTTCCAACCTAGGATTCAATTTGTTGACACCATCAACAAGGTAGTTAAGTCATATATATATATATATTATATAATGTTATAATTATAATATATATATATATATACACACTGACATCCGTTGACAGAGAAAGCCCCTCAAGACGGAATACCTCAACAATGCAGAATTAATTAGGGCTTCGCAGCTGATCGGAAACCACCAAATGGAGAGGCACATAGGGGTGGGTTCAAACCAAGTCAGCCAATGAGTCCTTCTCACCCGCATTAGACAGGTATGGATTTTGAAACGCTGCATATGCCCTGAGGCTCAACACACCATTAAAACAATGGGGCTTCATATAACCACCATCCTGAGGAACTTCATGATCCAAAACGTATAGTCCATACTTCCAAAGCTACCCTGCGCTTGATCTGAGAAACTCACGGAGGAGGTTGCGCCAAACCCCAAAAGACTCTCTGCTATCGGCACGAGGCTCGCAAGTGGATCCCTCCTGCACCTTCGGCGGCGCCCGAGCCTGCAGCTTCCGGGTGAAACCGTGCGTTTAAACCCATCACACCACCATTACACACCAGGACAAACAATCATCTTGGCAACCACTAGCAAGGGGTAGCAGGAAATATGTGCAGATCCTTTGTCATATCTGATTAGTTCACCCTAAAACCTAAGACCCCAGACACCGTGCCATGCATGTTGGTCCCAAGATGCCATGGGAGCAACTTGGCAATCTCGCAGGCAAACACCCGAGCCTTGTCTCCCCAACTCAAAATGGCATTTTAGATTCTGATTTGGTTAGCTACCCCATGTTTTCCAATGGCCCTGCCTGTCCCAATACCTGCTTCTTTGTCTTGTAAGTCCTCCAAACTGTGACCTTCGTGCCCAGCCATTGGACTTGCAAACGGGGCTCTGTTTACATGCCCCAAACCTGGTTGCAACTGGATCAAAACTGGGCTGCCCTTAGATCCCCCGCGAAAAGTGAATAACTTTTAGTGGGTTCAATGGAAACTACCACGAAACACTAAAAGACTGGGAGCCACCAAGAAAAGAGACACCCCTTTTCAGGGCATCGCTGGAAAGGGCCGAGCTGAACACGACCGCTTCCCAAGCACTCTGCAGGCTCTGCCAACCCCTGCGTTTCCATGTCAAGTCGGAGTACACCTGCCAATTGGACGCTTCCTTCCAACTTTGTCACTTGCGAGTTCCAATTTCCACAAAATCCCACAAGAATGTCCTGAATCCCCCCGGGGCCTGTCTGCGTGTCAGTTGACCCCACTTAGCCCAAATGAAACCCCGCGGAACCCTCTTGCACACTCTTCGTAGGAATGCATTTGCAGAGTGCTCAAACCCATTGACTTTTGGTTCTATCAGCATGTTATAAAGATGCATACAGGCCTTACCATGCCTTGCTGGTGCTCAGCAAGGAATCAGGGAATGAACCTTATACACCATCCCCTGTGGTTTCCTTCAAGGGGACCCCTCTCTTCCTTCCCACATTCCCTACTTACCCAGTCGTCGTACGATGTTTTTTGAGCTCGCCAGTAGGCAGATTGAATCCGACCCAGGGCCGTGGGAAATGACTCACCTCTTCTGGTGGCATGGTGGTAGCACCGACTAGAGTCATAATAAAACCCGGTATTGAAATGGTCTACCCAGAAGCACGTAAAGAATTAAGAAGGCGGATATCCGCAGCTATTTATGGTTGGGATTGTCCCTTACTAACATGCATCTACCCGGGTTTTGAGCAAGTGGCTCAACAAAAATTGGTCAATCGCACCCATCAGCCTGCCTCGTCCGCTGACTCGGCCTGGCTTCGCGCTTCGCGCTTCGCGCTTCGCCCGGGAAACACGGGCAGCTTACTCTCAGAACCCCCGGGCCGCAATACAACAGAAAGAAAGAAACACACGCACTGCCATGTTTGTCCAACAAGCTTGAGAGGGACGCAGAGCCTTAGCAGCGGATAAGATCCCCACACGCAGGAGTGTCCTTTACCCAGAAGGGCAAACACATAAAACAAGAAACAAGGCCCCAAGACTATGGACATCTCAGCCCATCTTGCATCAATTTGGAGATTTGCTCGACGACGGAATCAGCTGGCAAACACCAGTTTCCGCCCAGCTGGGAGGAAGCAAGAAAATGCAGAAATCCCACTCGCGTGTGTCTCTTCTTGAGGAAACGGACGATAAACGTAAAACCACCATAGGGGGATCGAACCCAAGAACGGCCTGCCTAGGAGGATCTATTGTAAGAAATTCCCACCTCTCCATCGGCCATGATTTTGCATATTCTTCGCACCTGAATGGAAGCCCGAAGCAAGGGGTGCTCATGGGCCTAGGTGGAGATCTACAAGTGTGGCTGTCTCTTTTGGCTTCCCTCTAAACCAAAAAGACGACCTCCAAAAAAAATAAGCCGCAGACCCGCATTCCTCCGGACCAGCGAGCCCGCCATAATATTCGGGCAACTGTGCGGATGTCAAACATGACCCTTGGTCCAACAAATTTGCCTGATGGAGCCACGTGCCATTGCCCTTTCGTTGGGAACGGCGGGAATGGAAAAAGAAGCCTTGTCCAAGCTCACCCCCAAAGACGGGTCACGACATGGCTGACTGTCCGAAAACTGTCTGTTTCCTGGTTCTGCTTGGATGCTCAATCAACTTACTAAGTACACCTGGTTACAAGGCCACTTATAACCATGGTTATTACAAATTTACGTTGGTTGAGCATGCAAGTGGAGCCCCAGACACAGTTGCTTGGTGGCACATCTTCCCTCCCAAACCTTGCAACTCATCCCATGGCCTCCGTGAAATGGCCCTGAAACATTTCAACCACAGGTCACTTTTGAAGACACGAACTACAACGGTCCAAACCCCCCCAAAAAAAGTCCAGGAACTCCAGCTGAGGAAACGAAACAACCATATCCCTACTAGGTCCTCCAGTGGAGAGGCTAGAATAAGGGTACCCTTTTTCTGTAGTCAATGTTTGCAGGGGAACCCTCCCCCAAAAAAGAAGCACCACTGGGGGACCTAGCCTGGTTCTTGCCGAGCTTCCCACGAGCCAAAAGGCCTGAAAGACCCCGTTGGGATCCAAATGAGGTGGGCCGGGCCCCGAACTCCGTTCAGGGCAATGCTCAGCTTATTCAGCGTCCCCGCATTGTTCAATCTTGCAGTTATTCTCAAATGTGTGTGGTGTGTGTGTGTGTGTGTGTGTGTGTGTGTGTGTGTGTGTGTGTGTGTGTGTGTGTGTGTGTGTGTGTGTGTGTGTGTGTGTGTGTGTGTGTGTGTGTGTGTGTGTGTGTGTGTGTGTGTGTGTGTGTGTGTGTGTGTGTGTGTGTGTGTGTGTGTGTGTGTGTGTGTGTGTGTGTGTGTGTGTGTGTGTGTGTGTGTGTGTGTGTCCAACTATTATTATTACAGATTTTTTGCAAGCTTGGTAGGGAGTAATTACCTGCAACCAATGAAATGCCCAAGTCATGTCACCCTAAAGTCCGAAGCCTGGCTTTGGAATTTTGTTTAACTTCGGACCTCCCTCTGGTTGTGGGAAACCACTTTGGTATGGAAACTTCTTCCTGGGACTCAGTAGGTAATGTGGGAATCAGGGATTCCCTCAAAGGACACCACCAGTTGGATGGTTAAGGGTCATGCCATTTCTCATTCCTTGCGCACCAGCAAGACTTTGTTAGACCAGTTTTTGGTTGGAAAAGCATCGCTATCTGCACGAGTCATAAGTCCAGGAAACTGGGCGGAGACCACACAGCTTTTAGCTGCTGGAGAAGAAATGTTGGGCGTCTGGACAAGTTTCTGTCAAAAAAACACACACCTGGTACACACATACACCTCCACTTCTGATTTTCCTACAGAAAGTTGACAATTCTGGGCAGTTTAGAAAGGCACTCACCTGACTTCCCTCCTGCCCACTAACATAAAGCCTGACTGAGGCGTCCTCAAAAAAACTCCTTTAAAATGGACCCTCTGCTAGGTTCCATGTTGGTGGAAAGGCACGGCAAATGATCCTTCAACAGGCAAACTCTTCGGAGCAAACAACTTGCACGCAACGTCCCGCCTGTCGCCCGGCCCGAGCGCCATTCACCTGCCCCGTTCCAAGAAGATACTCTTGGTTCTACCAACATGGGACTGGGGGGGGAGGTAGGGGAGTGGGGAGGGAGCCCGAATTGTCTCCTGTCAAGCCCTTAATGCGCCCATGGCCAACATGGATTCCTTTCAGAAAAAAAAAAGAAGAAATTTGCATCCCCCCACTATTCCCAGTGGAGCCAGTTGCCACTCACTATCTTAAGTAACCTGGTATTTTGGATCCATTGGGTATGTAAAATGTTTAACAAACGTCCGTACTCTTGAAAACCCCTCTCACAACGGGTTTTGGGGACCGACTCCCCCAGATGGGTGCAATTTGTCATAGACCCTTGTGGACAGAACAACATTTGGCAGTCACATACATATTTGTTTATCCCACTATCCCAATCACGGTTGTTCGTCATCATTATGGTAGATCTTTGTTGAAAACCCTTCCTTGGGGGGCCACTTGCCAGGTGGTTCCACCCATCATCTGGTCGTAGATGGGTCGGGGACTTGTGTCAGGAATCTTTTGGGGACTCAGCAGGGGCACGCGGAACACAAGTTCTGACTCTGTTTCATATTTTGGGGTTGGCCTCAAAATGCGGGACCCCAAAAATAGATGGTTCCCTCCTATTCTTTTTTCAAAGCCACCAAACACAGGCTACCGAGCCTCAAAACAGACGAGCCATTGATCTGAGACCCCGGTTTTGGGTGAATCACCTTGCGAGCAACCATACGCCACGCATCTGAATCCGGCCTGATGTGCGTCGCGAAGGTGAAACGCCTGAGCATGTTGCCCTCCCACCAATTAACGTGAAACCTGACAGGGACCCGCCCTTTAGAAGGAACATTGCCTTCAAGGACCCCTCATGTCAGGTTCCACGTTCATTGGTGGGAGGGTAGGTCGAAATGAACATGGAGCTTTGGGGTTCCGACCAGTTCCAGCACCCCGCAACCACTACTCTTTGCACAGTATGTGGGATTTCGACATGGGAAAAGCAGCAGAGTTGTTTTGCCCAGGTCATCGTTTGACTCTCAAAATGGTTGCCAGAACGGAAGCCCCATTGGCTTCGCCAGCCCCAAGACAAGGAACCTGCTGAGAGACAATCGGCTCTTTGATTCTCATGAGCTGCACATCCAAAACTGCACCTGAATTGGGGTCATTAACCATTGCGCACAAAACCAGCAGCATCTTTGGCACCACCAAAACAACATGGTCGTTGCACAAAGCTTTGAGTGCAAAACTATCCCTCCCTGCCATTCCAGTTGCATGCCTCTCCCAACATGTAATCCATGGACAGAAGTATGTGCTCATTCCTCTATATATATATATATAGCTATCCCCCCCCCCAAAGATCGACCATTTTCTGCGTTTTGAGAAAGATGCGGTGCATTATTGCAAGAAACAGATGTGCATCTGCTGGGGTCGACATTCAAGTGCAGTGTTGTTGAGGACGGTTGCTGGATGGCATGTGTTTTGCGTACATGTCCAGGATCATGTGACAGCCACATGTTGCAGCAAACGGCAATAGCAAGAGAAAAGTACTTCCGGCGGCTTCCAACTGCTAGGCACCGCGTCCTCAAAACCCATACCAGGACATCAAATCCCCTGTGCAGGACCACATGTCCTTGCCCTTCTGGGGTACTCATACTGAGCAGAGCGGATCTGGGCCCGCAAAATCACTCTGCCTGCCTTAACATTCTGATTCGCTTTCAGGCGATCCTTAATGAATCGCCATGCGCGATCGATAATTTGCGTGCCGGCTTTTACCGACAAGCGCTTGCCGCCGGGGAGCTTATGGGACACCACCTTGACATAGGTCGGGGGCTTCCATGAGCGCTTGCCGTTCTTGATGACGAGCTTCTTCTTGTGCACCACCGAGTCGTGCACCACGCCATCAATCTTGAGCTTGTAGGATCGAGCGCTATCTGTGTGCAAGATGATGCTCTTGCCCTGCAAGTGCTTCCTGGCAAGCGGGGTCCAGTCCACCTTGCGGATTGCCCCCGGCCCCGGGGCTCTGGCCTTGGTAGCGGGGGGGTTGAGCCGATGCAACAGCGTCTGTGGCTTGCCACGGGCAACGATGCCAGCCCACTGCTCCCACAAAATCGTGTTGCCGTCCTGTTCGGCGCATGTGGTCTTGTCGAAAGTGGCCTCATCCGCTTCGACATCCTTCCACTTGTTGCCCCCTCCGAAATTGATTTCCTTCTCGGAGATCTCGACAAAGCCCTTGCGAGTGAGGATGAGCCCCTTATCCATGCGCTCCAATGCCTTGTGGTTGATGTTCGTCAAGATGTGGATGGTGCTCAGAGGGACGTTCGCCAGGCGCATCATCAGAGCGGCGGCTTGCATCTGTAGAGGATGACTTCGGGTCCGCGAGTTGCGGTGAAGATGGGGTGAAGGTGCTGAGGGGTCACAAAGCGATTGCACGCCTTCGCACTGCAGCGGTATCGAAGGAGTCCACTGCCTCGCTTTTGCAGTCGCCCGAGAGCTTCCCGATGTTGCACATGGGGCAGACTTTCTTCTCCCAAGGTGGCAGTAGACCGTCCTCAGCCAAGATCTTCAAGATCTTCTCGTCATCTGCGCACATGATCATCTTCTTGAAGTCCTCAAATTTGAACAAGGTGGTGAAGTCGTCGCCCTCTTGGATGTCACAGTCGTAGCTGTTTGCTGCCAAAGCTCTGGGTTGGTTTTGCACCCACTTGACAGCACCCCACCTGGCCCACGACATTGACTCGTACAAGCCCACATCGAGCAAGGACTTCAGAGCTTTGATGCGCAAGTCAGATGTGGATGGGTCATCCAGGAAATCGCCATGGTGACCGTGCCTTGGTCACCACGAAAGAAATCGATTTCTGGGGAACACCTGATGCATGGCCGTTGGTCACCTTCGAAGCTCTGAGCATTGCGGCGGCATTGCGCCATAAGTACGCTGCGCCCAAGGGGGCTCTTGCCAGCGCCGGGTTCACCCAAAAGAACAAAGGCGGAGTGGTCGAAGTCCCACACATTCTCCAGGATGTCCAACACCCAGCGCTTGAAGAAGGTGCTGGTCAAGGGAAGAGGCCAATCGAACTCCTTCCTCGCCAGTGCTCCATCAGAAGCCAAGGTTCGAAGAGCTTTGTCGACGACACCAGCAGGCCAGTTGTAAACTGGCGACTCCTTGCGGCGAAGCTCCTTGGTCTGCCAGCGAAGCTGTCGAAGATCTGATCCGCTTCGAGGCCCATTCTTGATGAGGTAATCGAAGCCTGCGTCGAGTTCACGATCCTCCAAATCGTCAAAGGCTGCCTTGGTCCGGGATGAGTTACTAATGGCCTGGTTCGTCAGCTGGGGCTCCCATGTTCTCAAAGCAGTACTGCATGATCTTCTTGCCAGCCGCTTGAGCATGGGCGCATGTGGGCTTGAAAGCCTCCCCAAAGGTGACGGTCTGGAAGAACGCTTTCTTACACTTCTGCGGGAAGATGAAGTGCTTGAAGATGGTACACTTGCCATTCTGCTCCTCCCTCTCCACCAGTTGCAACCTCGTGTCTGGAGGAAGCGCAACTCTGCTGCCATATGGGGCTGGCATGCACTGCAGATCGTTGTGGGTGATGGCCTGCTTGTAGGCTCTCTCCAACTCTTCGAAGGGCACCGTCATCGTGTGCTGGGTCAAAAGGTCGACCCAGTGCACGCTGGGAGCGCAGTCCACCTCATTCAAGGACCGCATGGGGAAGTTCACATGGTTGAAGATGCCCTCGGGTCCGGGTGAAGAAACAAAGGGAGATGGCAAGATCCGGCACACCAGGGCCTCGCATGCTGCCTTCAGATCATCGATCGTCATGTCTTCAGCAGCTGGAGGCATGGCGTAGACAGACAGGCAAATACTGACAAACACCTGAGCCCCAAAGCTTCCATGACCGAAGGCTCAGGGGCGAAGGGCAAGCAACCCATGAAGCTGCAAAAACCTCGAAGAAATCAAAAAAATAAAAAAAAATCAAAAAAATCAAGGTCCTGGGAGAGAATGCCCAGGTCAGAATCTCGGAAAGTGAAAAACCCCGAGACAATCAAAAAAATCAAAAAATCAAAAAACATCAAGGTCCTGGGAGAGATAGTCACTGGGTCTGGGCATTCTGTTCCAGGACCTTGATTTTTTTTGTTTTTTTTGATTTGTTTTTTTTTATTTATTCGAGGTTTATTCACTTTCCGAGATTCTGACCTGAGCATTCTCTCCCAGGACTTTGATTTTTTGATTTTTTTTTGATTTCTTCGGGTTTTCTCAACATGTTCATCCTGTGCAGCCAAAAGGCAGATGCAAGATGAAGTTGGGAAGCCAGAAGCCCGAGACCTTGCAGATCCTGGGATGTGTCCCCAGAGACAAAACACAGAAAATTGTCGATCTTTGGGGGGGGGTACCATATATATATATATATATATATATATAGCGCGGTTGTATGGATTGAAACTCGATAACATGCAAATCTCTGTGTCTATATATATATGTATTTATCTATGTATATACAGTAGCCTTGTATGGAACATTCGTCAAAGAAAGCCGCGGGTGCCTGGTTTCCCAGCTTCAGTTTGAGGGCAACCCTAGCGGCGAAGGGGGGTGTATGGCCTTGACCGTTGAGTATTGACTAGGGCTTTATCCATAGGAAATCAAGACGCCCAGCCTTCTACGGCCATGCGACTTGCGCAAAATAAGCTCAGGTGATGATATCCCCAACAGAATGCGGTGTTGTTTTAGTGCTCGCACCACCCCGCAGCCCTCGCAGAACCTCGCAGAACCTCGTGGAACCCTGGTGGAACCCTCGTGGAACCTTGTCTCAGGGCCGCCCCGGACCACCCCGGAGCCTATCTGGGCTGAGACCCCAAAGCTTTCAGCTGTTGGGGAAAAACTCCCCGGTGCAATGAGACATGGCCCCTGTACTCAATTGGGGGTGGGGATCACGCAAAGAAACCAATGCGCTACTTGCCCATGTTAGAAACACGAATGTCGTCCCCAGATTGATCAACCTGGGAGTTTCTGATCCGGCGTCGGCATTAGGCGCGGGTAGAAGAGTGCCCAACTGAAACCAGTGGAAATGCCCAACCAAACTGACCAGCAAGGACTCCTTTGAGTGGGGTTTTGAGTGGGTGGTTCTTCCAGCCCCCGTGCCTGTGCGAGCTCGGCCTGGCAAGAACAAAAGCTCCAGGTGGGAGCCGAATCAGGCAATCAACATCAGCTGGGTGATGTGTGTGTGCTTTTGAGGGTACCTTTTTGTTGGGGGAAATTGGCGGAAAGCGATAGGAAAGCGGACTCACACATACATACACACATATATATATATATACACGAAAGCATGAGTACTTTTGTGTGGTGTTAAGGAAAAACCAAAGCAAACCCGGCACCCCTGTTTTTGTCGATGGAATTGAATGGGAACCTACCACAGGTTTACAAACATTGTGATTAACAACGTACTGAAGGACACCAACTTCTCTGAAACCCAGCTGACTGTCGCACCTGAGTTGACAAAAGGCCAGAAACAGTCAGTGACCCAACCTGGGGCTTGTCTTGACAATGCTGCTTAGACACCTCCCACAACAAACACAGGTTGCCAACAATGCCGTTACCTGCGGGCCAGTTCGCACGTCAAAAGCATGACACTGAGATGTTCCCCGCAAGGAACCTAGATCGTAGCCAAGGGCATGGCAGCTTGTACCTCACTGGGCGTAAGCCTGGGCGGCTTTTAAGCTGGTTGATGTTAAAGGGGCCTCACCTCACGAGACCCGAAAAAGGGAACCACTGGGTGTCTGGGACTAGAATGGTCTTCCCAAGAAAGTTAAAGTACAACTGGAGAAGTAAGCCGTAGGCAGCCCAACACTTTACTACTATAATCTAACAGACCATTGAGGTAAAACAGAAACGTGATATCTGATGTGCACACTTTCAAAACCATGCGCAATGACAGCGCATCAGTGAAGCCAGCCGACCATGTAGCTTGCTTTTGGTGGTGTGATGCTGCAAGGCCGGAAATATTCAGAAAGTGGAGCTGGACTTGCAGGCCATACTTTCGTGCACATGCTTGCATAGAGCCCAACCCAAGTTAGCGCTCAAAGGCTCAGGCCTCCAAATGGCCAAGTGCACAGTTAGCGATCTGTTGGGTTGATGTTCAAGGGACCCGTTTCCCCAAAAAACTAAAAAGGGCACCATTGGAGGTTTGGGCTTCTAGAGGAATCTGCTGGTGGGGGATTCTCTTCTTGGAAGCGGTGGCGCCCGCGCGAAGTGTCGAAAAGTCCCCTGTGCGGCTTGCCAGCCTTGAAGGGAAGCAGGATGGAAACTGGGCCCTGCTCCCCTTTAGAGTACGGAGCCCAAAAAAGCCATTTGTAAAGTTGTAGAGGGAACCCCTAAGAAAAAGCGGTGAATTTGCAGAGGCACAAGCGGAGCAACGCGAGATTCGTCCCCACACGTCTTGCCCGGCACCCCCACCTGCGCAGTTGCTTTGGCACGAGGCGTCAGGTGAAACGCCTGGTCCGGTCGAAGCCGCTGCTGACTTCATAGGGAGACCGCGAAGGAGTGTTTTTTTGTGTGGGTTGGGTGGAGATTCATGTTCACCAACCACTTTCGAGGTAGTTCCGTATTCAAATTCATAGTACGGGTGCCTGTTTTGTTCTCGAAAGGGTAAAAGCAAAAGGACACACGTATATTTTGTTTGGGGGGTACCCTTTGGAAACAAGCACGTGTGTCTTTCCGTTCACCTCAGTTGTTCAGTGACCCTGGAACCCTTTTTGGGGAAGACCATTTTCCCAGTGCCAAGCGGCTGGGCGGCTTGCCCCAGACTCCCGTGCACATGGGAAAAAGGGCCTTCTGTTGGCAGCTGGAACCCCCCCCCCCCCTCGGACAAAGACAAAGAAACACAGGCACCACTAGGTGTCTGGATGGCTTCCATGTGCGATTCCAACCTCAAACCAACATGAAAGTGAACAAACAAATTCAAATTCTGCATGAGAGTCCTTTTTGAAAAGGGTCACTGGCCGTGCCATGCGGAGAGGTCGAAGGGGGAGCTAGGAAGGACCATCTAGGAAGCATTCAGTAGCATGGCACCAAAAGGACCACGTTCTTGCGACCAAGTCTTAGGTGCAGCACGCTCCCAACTCCAATTGCACGAGCCACAAGCTGGCGAGACGGTCAGGTCCCGTGATCCAACCGCGAGCGAGAAAGTCCGCGAAACAATCGTTTGTGGTTGTGTGATGTTCTTCTTGAGGCTACCCAGGTTTGCTAAGGGAAGCCGACAGGAACATCACCATATTGAAAGTCCGAATATAGCTTGTGGCACCTACCCAAAGCTTCCATTTGGTTAAGACTGCTTGAAAAAACATGTTGCCAGTAGCGATAGATTCCTTTTATAACCAACAAGGGAGAATAAACAAATATTCTTCAGCAAATGGAAGAAAGCAAGAAGGGGTCAGCCCAGTCCCTCCACCCCAGTGTCAGCTGCCTGCGCCAGTTCAGCCTGGCGGAAAGAAACCCGTGCTTCGACACCTAGCCAATTTCAGCACCATGACATCCAACTGCAAGTTCGATTTCCACATCTGGGCCCTCACTACAAAGCTAAAAAGCTGAGGAACCGGATGGCTGGGAGCCACCAAGACATGGGATTTGGGGGCCGCTTGGAACGCATGTCTACCAACAAAAGCATCATGGATCTCTCCATCACATGTCTCCAGTCAATCGGCGAGGCTCATTGAAAACCACGCAAAAAAAAAAAAAAGAAGAAGAAGAAAGGATCAATGGGTCTGTCTTCAATAAGTCTTTTGAGGTTGGACCCCTGCAATGGCTGCGACCAACCGGTCCCAGGTAATTACATTCCAGTCCTGGTTCGCATTTCATCGAGCTGGAGCTGCACACGCACGCCCAATTTCGTGTCTTGGACCGTGACTCTCGGCCGTGCTGACTGCTTCTCGCATGCCCAAGCCGTCCAGCCGAGGCCGAATGACGAAGCGACGCAAGCTCCAGACGCCGCGAGAGATAGGCGCAGAGATGACACTTCAGCGTTGCGCGCAGTCGGCTGGTCGGCTTTGGCTGTGACAGGTTGGAGGATCACAAGAGGATCTGCACAATCATGGGAAGAGAACTCCTCTTCTACACATCAAGTCATACGAAACAACATCTTCTTTGAAGAGGAGGTCCCTGTTAATTCTTCCCTGAAGCTAGAACTTCCCACGAGGGAATGCGATTCATATCCTCAGATGGGGGGCCACTTCCGACGGGTATCTCTCACATGGCGCCACACTTCCACGTTGGAGATCCAAACGCAGCTAAAGCTAGGGACTGCGTCCAAAAACCAAGGGATGGCCAATACCAGACTTCGCATTCCCTTCAAACGGGTGTTTCAATGGCCTCTGTTTGGACAGGCGGCACAATAAGACCCCAAAACCCCAAAGGACCCTGTGGTGTTGGCAATTGTTGAATGAACTGGTTCATGCCTGGAGCCATACAATGCCCTTCTTCTCTGGCTGAAAGGCTTTGCCCAGAAAACATGGTCACACGGGTGTCTCTGGATTTTGCTCCATGTTTCATTGAACAAATAGTGGTTTCGAGGGCAATACAGCAAATGACTGAAACTAACAGCCGTTCGAGCAAATACTAACTAAATACAGTCTTTGGCTCCAGCCCTG